TTCGCTGTTGCATTGCTATAGGTCCTGCCTGCACGGTTGGAACTACATACATTTATTAGACCAGGCCAGATGGACTCTTTCTTCTTTCCATTTTTCCAAGTATCAAGTTGAATCTTCAAGGATAAAAGGATAACAAAAAATTCGCTACGCGCCAAGAAATATTTTCATGCTTGCTTTCGGGAATCTTGTATCATACGCTTATAATCCAATCCGATTGATATTTTTTTTCTTTGATCCAAGTTTGAAGTCAAACCTCTCACTCCCCAAAAATCAGTATTGATAAGTCAAAAACTCTCTATGATCGCATAGCATCCAATCCACCTTGTAAATCTTGTTCCAAATCATTTGGTCCTTGCCCATAAGCTTCTTGTGGTCTCGGATCCTCAGCCCTCCAGCTTGCTTGATCCTGTGGTATAGGTACTTGAGGTCCATTACTTTGGCCTTGTTGACCAGGTTGAACACGGACATGTTGTCTAAATCGGTGAACTTCTTCTAAAATCAACTTTCTGATCTCACCAACATCTTCTACAACTTCAAAATCGAAGTTGAATGTTGTTGGACATCCAGGCTCATCGGAAGCATCGTGCCAAATATGAAGGTATGGATGTTCAAGGGCGGTTTCAACATCAATACGGGAGGATGGATCGAATGCTAACATATGATCAAGGAGGTCGAGGGCATCGGGATTGGCGTTGGGGAATAACGTTGGGAAAGGTCGCTTGGCCATGTATGGTAAGTTTCGGACGTATTCTTGTGCTCGTGGCGATCCAATTCGTGATAATGTTTCTTCATTTGGTGTACCAAGGATATGCAAAATTTGATTGAGTTGATCAACATAATCTCTACCCTTGAAGAAAGGACGACCGCCAAGTAATTCTGCGAGAATACACCCTACTGACCATACATCAACTAATTTATGTTAGCGGCCTGTCACTTTTCGATCCATGATATCATAACTTACTAGCTTTCGTATAACTCTGGAAACTCAACATAATCTCAGGGGCACGGTACCATCTTGTAGCAACATATTCCGTCATGTATCCAGCATTCTCTTCAGGATCAACAGAGAAACCTCTTGCAAGACCAAAATCACAAATCTTCAACTCGCAATCGGCATTGACCAGCAAATTACCGGGCTTCAAATCACGATGAAGAACATTCGCAGAATGAATATATTTTAAACCACAAAGGATTTGATAAATGAAAGATTGAAAATGTGCATCAGTGAGTGGTTGACCGGATCGTACGATAGCAGCGAGATCACACTCCATAAGCTCTGCGAAGAAGAAATTAGTATGAATTGAGCATGGGAATGAAAAAGTCCATCTTACCTTCATAGAGGTATGTCTCATTGAAGTTATCTGGTCGAGGAATGTCCATATCATACAGACAAGTAATCTATCTAGGGTCAGAACTACCCCACCACCATCATGAACATAAGAGTCGCATACGTTACGATGACCTCTGAAATGTTGTAACAACTTTATCTCTCGTAGCGCACGCTTTGCCAAAATCTTCTTACTAAAGACATTTGTGACCTTCTTAATTGCGACACCTTCTTGTGTTTGGGAATTGGTAGCAGCACTGTGATGAAGAACAATGTTAGCTAGAGGTTTATCATAACGCATGTGCGCGCATATGCAGGTAGGGTCGGAAGGAAAGTAACATCGTACCAGACGATACCATAAGCTCCTTGACCGAGCTCCTTGGTTACTGTATATCTCTCATCGACGATAAAGTCTTGATTGAAGACCTTAAACACCTTTCTTCCTTGGAGATCCGCCATCTTTGAATCGGATGTGTGGAACGCGTAAGTTTCGAGGTCTTGATGAGATAGATCTAAGACTGATTGATCTCAAAGTGGTTGAGGTTGGTTGAGGTTGAGGTTGAGGTTGAAATGAGATGTTTCCTTTTTGAAATGAATGTATATCAATGATACGATAAGAGAACGAATATAAGTATGGGAGATTCGGAAGATGTTATTAATTGCTCTCTCTCTCCTTATGATCTTCCTAGCCGCCGACAAGGAAGACAAGGAAGTTGAGGTTGGCTTTCTCAAGTTATGATGGGGCTTCGCGGAAGAGGCACAGCTCGTTCGCAATTTAGAAATTTTGGGGTCCAAGGTGGGGAGAGAAGAAGGGAAGAGGATACTTTTATCCAAGAACAAGGAACTGAATACCAAATCCTTGAACGATGATAGGACCAATTACCCAATTTACTAAGATATTTCCAACTTGTTTGTAGCGTGTTGGATATAGTAATTTTTTATCATTATAAAAGAATGACAAATTGATAGCGAACTTTGTTAACTTTTGTATAAGATATCCAATCTAATAATAATATATATAATCTTACAAACTGAAAGGAAGGAAAAGAACAAAGTATTATACAAAGCTGAAATGTGTGCCTGAATTCCTCCTTACAACTTTTTACTATCGAGATTACCTAGTAGGTAGTCAAGTTTCCATCTCTTTGTCCTTTTTCTTCCCTTTTCTTTTTCCTTCCAGCTTCCAATGAGGGGAATGACTTATCAAAACTTACCAAAACCTGGAGGGTGTGGGAGGCTGTAAGTAAAGGTCAACTCGTTTGGTCTTGGACCCAATGGGAT